TCGAATTTTGAATGCGCAAGGGGATCAAAGTTTTAGAGTCGTCTCCTATGCACAACCTTGTTGGAAAACTCAAGAATATGATTGTTCGCAGGGCACTTACTGCATTATCACTGTAAGAGTTAAGACGTTGAATGTGCTATTAGTTTATGATACCTTCGTGCCACGCATAATTCGAGAAAGTATATAAGATAATTGAGATCAAATTTTGAATCTGTGTTCTCAGCTTTTAACGTAGCTATTTGTTTGATGCCCTACAGGTCTTGGTATTAAATGGATGTTTAGAAAGTCCCTATTTCCAAATTCCTAACACTTTCTAAATCCTTATACTTTCTTTGCCTTAAAAATACACAGGTGCAAATGTCAAATATGAGAGCAAAAACAGCAAAATTGGCATCAGTTGGCTAGAAATTTTAAAAGTTTGTTGGAAGTCGGCATTCAGATTGTTGGGCAGACATTGTTCATAGTTCTTTGCATTTACAATATCTTAACAGATTGTTTATGCTTCAGAACAAAATTGTTTCCGCGCCTCGTTAATGTGATTACGTGGGACTAGATAATGTTGGCACTACTGTAATTGTTAAAGAATTCCTATAAGGTTCATTACCATTACTATGCAAATTAAGAAATCTTCGTTATGGGTAGTAGGTTTTGCAAGTATAGGTTCTACCATCATAGATTTTACCACATCTGTCAGATGCCGCAATTCTCCTTTTTTCCGAAACAATATCTCTAAAAGGCTTAGAGTTTTTCTTAAGAGTCATCTACTATTAATTATCGAAATGAGAGAGCGGTGAAGTCTTGTCTTGAATCAGATTGTTACGAAATACTGCGGATAACCGATATTTTCAGGATCGGACGCAGCTAGTCTAAGCACAATAGCTCGTCGAGAGGGGGACTATTACGTGGTCAACGGTTCCAAAGCATTCATCAGCGGAGCGGGAGCTTCGCAAATGTTCGCGTTTATAAGTTTTACACTGTCCCTACGCGAAAAGAAAAACTTCTGAAGATTTCTTGGACAGCAATAATTTATGGACGTTACAGCTACGTAGTCATGGTTCGTCACGATGGACAAGCAGGAGCAAAAGGGATTTTCTGCCTTTTGGTTGAAGATGGTATGGAAGGTTTTACCCAAGGAAAGAAAGAACAAAAACTTGGTTGGAATACACAGCCTACTCGGATTATATCCTTTGAGGATGTTAAGGTAAACTGGATTCAGCTACGATCTTCATTTTCGTTAGGCAATCAAGTGTTGGTTTATCACATTTTATGTCTCACTTCTTGTCAGGTACCGGTGACGAACCAAATCGGGCCCGATAACTGTGGTTTCAACATTGCTATGGCTGGTTTGAATGGTGGTCGCATAAACATTGCTAGTTGTTCCCTAGGAGCTGCACAGCAGAGCTTAGACTTAGCCATTGATCATTTGAAAGTAAAACTTTGAATGTCTTTTTGCTGCCCTGTCGGAAGAAATTTCATTGCCAGGTCCGAAAGCAATTTGGCAAAAAGCTATCCGATTTCCAGTGGAATCAGTTCAAGCTGGCAGAGATAGCGACAAAGCTACAGAGCAGTAGGTTGGGTGCTTACGTATGTTTGGTCATCTCTTTCCACGTTGAATCTCTTCCACTTATTTTATACTACAACAATTGCTTTGTTTAACGTAATACGTGTCAAAAGCGAGCAGTTTTAGTGCGACTAACCAGCCACGGGTACTTGACATGCTGTGTTCTAATAATATAGCCATTTGCACAGTTGTTCATTATTATGTTTCAATGTCAAGTATGTTGTATGGAGGAAAGTTGTCAAAAAAATCAGCGAGAACTCAGT